ATGCTCTCCTTCCCAGTGGATCATGGAATGGATTGCTGGGGGGGGGGGGCTGGCGGGTGGCAGCTTGCAGATGCTTCTGTAAATTCCAGCTGAATGGCCTCTGGCCATCCCTCACAGGGAGAAAAGCCAGGAGTAGGCCTTGCTCCTTCCAGGTCTTCTCTAATGGAAGGAGCCCCATATTCAGCAAGGCCTGGAAGGACCGTCTTCCCCACACACCTACCAGGGAGCAATGATATCAGGGAATCTGATCTCTGTTGCTCATCCCTCCTGCCACAATCACAGTAGCACAAAAAATCAGGATACAGCCTTTGAGGTAACTCTGCATTTCACCAGTAAGACAACTGATGTTACTCTATTAATGGGTTACAATATATCTCTGAATTAAGTCACAAAACATTTATGTTTGCATTATAAAGTAGATTCTGTCCCCACCCAGACAAAAGCCTATTTGGGAACCAGTCCAGTGAGATAATGCATAGACCAGTCAATAGTAGCAGGTGAATCTTTATTAAAACAACTTGTCCTTTTAGCTGCAGTAGTTTCATTAAATATTGCTTTCTTTTGACAAGAAAGGCAGACTTTAGGTGGAAGGAAAGAAGCACAACCATTCAACAATGCCTCAATAAATATGCAGGAGGATTTCCAGAGGCAGTGTTAGTCTGTTGCAGCAAAGAACAAGTGCAACAACAACCTTGCAGTGCTGTAAAGTCAAACAAACGCATTCTGGCATAAGCTTTTATGGCGACTGTCATGAGATGCTTCTGATGAAATGGCTGGAGCTCAAAACATCCTATTACCAAATGCATGTGTTCGCCTTTAAAGTGCCAGAAGGCTCTGAAAAAGTTCACATGGTTATGCTAATCCCACAAAATATGTGGGTTGCATGCTGGGCAGATTTCTCTAATTACCCTCACTGGCGCAGCCAGGGCAGAATGGCTTGTCTGAGGGACAGCAACTCTCAAACAACCCATGTTCTGTTGGTGAGTTGTTTCAGGGTTGCTGCCCACCCAAAACAGGTCACACTGTCCCAGGTTCAGACAACACGGCAAGCTGTTCCAATGGACATGAGCATAAGGCACAGTGCTGACGTTCTGCAGAAGGATCATGTAAAGAGACCCTCCTTGCTGCTCATGTGCAACCACAAAACTTCAAGGCAATGGCTGGGATTTCAAGAGCTGTTTTGGCACATGCACCTCGCTTGCCCTCGCCTGCTGGCATTCTCACTTTTTGTTTTTGAACAGCTGACTCTCCCTGTCTCTCCCACCACATCATAAACTCACAAATGACTTTTGAACCTACCTCCCCTGCCTTTCATACATAATTTGCTACATAGCCCGGAGGGCTGCTGTTCTGGGAAACCAACCGAAAGCCCTGTTGGGCTCACAGAACTAGTTCTGCAGTTCCTTGGATCCTGGCCAAGAGGCCTTTGTAGCCTTGCAATTAACCTTTGAAGACTAAAGATGAGCACAACGGCCCAAAGAACAATGCCGAAAGTGAGCAACTATAAATGGGATCATCTAAGTGGTTGCCAGTCACTGAAAAAGGCTGGTCCATGTGGGCCCCTAACCTTTTTGCCCACTGCTGGTGAGCCCAGGAAGGGTCTTAGCCGAAGCCTGTTTTGCCCTGGGTTGAGAGGATCAACTGCAGCATAGGGCGCTATGGTGAGCCATCTTGGTGCGTCGCGCTGCTGTGAGTGGCAGGTGATGCCAGACACACACAGCTGCGGTGCACTGGTGGAGTGGTCAGTTTTGATCCTTCTCTTCGCATTTGCAGCATGCCCTCAGCACCAATTCCTAAGGAACCACATTGCTCCCTAGCACGAGCACTGAAGGACCACCCCATCCTATCTTCCATGCCTTTCAGAAAAGCCCCTTCTCCAAACACCATCACTGGGAGACATACACTAGCCCGTTCTAAAAGCGAGTGCCTTCTTGATGGTGGTCCCCAGCTGTGGAATGCCCTCCCAAAGATAGTGTGCCAACTGCTTTGTTTTCTTTTGGGCATCAAATTAAAACATTACTTTTTAAACCTATTTTCATTTTATACTGTTTTGAAACCATTTTTGAATGGGACAGAAAACTTGGTTTCTATTTGGCTTGCCGGTTGAAGAGTAGCAGATTTTTAAAAAGTTATCTTGAATTTTTTTTGTTTTTAAAGGTATGTAAGGTACCCTGGAATCCCTTGTAGAAGTACAGTTTCTAAATTTTATAACTAAATAAATATTATGGGTGAGATGGAGAGTGAGGGAGGCTAAATCCTCTTATTAAACACCAATTATTGGCATAGAAGCAATTTACCTGTGCAACAAGCTTCCAAGAGCCACTGGGGAATCTCCTCCCTTGGTGATTTTGAAGAAAAACACAGTTGTCTAGCAAGGATGCATCGGGTACAAGACATCTTGTTCCAGGGAGTTAGTCTAGATGGAGTGGCATCTGTCAACTCAGTGATTACAACATCCCAGTCTGTTGGGATGTCTATCTGGGTGTATCTGGGTGTAAGCAATAGCAAGACGGGAGTTATATCTGCTAAGCATGTTTTTGATGCCGTTGACCATGGTATTCTTCTCAGGCGACTGTCTGAGAAGGGTGTGAGAGGCACTGTAGTGGCTCTGTTCCAACTTGGATGGCAGCCTCCAGAAGGTGGTGCTTGGGAGATACTGCTCTGCCCCTTGGATCCTCCAGGATGCAGTTTCTCAGGGATCAGCCTTGTCCCAAATGCTATTGAACTTCTACATAAAACCGGAGTTTTGGAGTGTGCTGCCATCAGTGTGCCAATGACCCATAACTCTGTTCTTTTCATCTTCAGGAGGTGAGGCTGTGGATGTGCTGAATCAGCGCTTGGCTTTAGCAATGGACTGGCTGAGCGCTAACAAACTGAAGCTCAATCCTGGCAAGACTACAGTGATGTTGGAGGGTGGTTCTTCTGCCTGGATGGAGGGAATCTAACCTGTTCCGGATGGGGTTGCACTTCCCTTGAAGGAGCAGGCTCACAGCCCGGGGGTGCTCCTTGAGCCATCCTTATCCCAGGCGGCTTCAGTGGCTCAGGGTGTCTTCTACCAGCTCTGGCTGGTGGCTTAGCTATGCCCCTATCTGGACAGAGATAGCCTGCTATCAGTAGTCTATGCTCTAGTAATCTCTAAGCTAGAATACCGCAATGGGCTGTATGTGGGGTTACCCTTGAAGACTGTTCAGAAGCTGCAGCTTGTGCAACCGGTGGCAGCCAGATCAGATGGTCTGATCATATAAAACCAATATTGGCATGCTTGCACTGACTGCCTATATGCTTCCAAACCCAATTCATGGTGCTGGCTGGTTGTAAAGCCCAACACAGTTTAGGACCGTGATACCTGATGGAATGCTTCTCCGGACCTCCAGCCACTGGGACAATATGCTCAAGTTCTGAGGCCTTTCTATGATTGCCGGCTCTGAGGGAGGCTTTTCAGTGGCAGCCCCCCACCCCATTATGGAATGAGTTCTTCACTGAGGCCCACCTGGCATTGACTTTACTATCTTTTTAGTGCCAGGTAAAGACTGTTCTCTTCTGCAGGGCATTTAACTGGTTACTGAGGCCTGTTGGTTGTCAGACAGGGTCTAACTGGGTCTTTTCAACATATAATTTCTTCCTGTTTTTTATTTGTTTTTAAATTTTGTATTGCCAATCTTTTAATGATGTTTTAATATGTTTATTTTAATATGTTTATCTAAACTGATCAAATAAATAAGATTATGTTGCAATTTAGACCATCTTCTCTTATAACATTGCAGGATTTGCTTTGGAGTAAAGCTGTGTTGGATCAGGCTGCATGATTTCATAATCTCTGATTTGTCACCAGGTGCAAAAAAACCCCCTTAAGTCTTATGTTTCCTGACTGCATAGTCTTTTGGTATTGGTATCCTCACACTGAAACATCAGATCTGTGTTACATTCATGCAGAATCCAAATACTGGAGAATTGGATTTTTGCGTGCAATTTCTCGGTAAATCCAGAGTTGTAACAAGTTTGGAAAGAAAGAAAGAAAGAAAGAAAGAAAGAAAGAAAGAAAGAAAGAAAGAAAAGGTGAGAGTAACCCTGTCTGTTTTGTTGGTGAGAGAGTTCCCTGATAAATGAATTAGCATCAGAGTAAGGAGATCGCTCAGGGGCTGATATTGATCAGGCAGAGCCAGTGTGTTTGCCTGGGATTGTTTGGGGGATAATTGAGTGTCAGTCTCTGTCTGTGTCGTCTCGCTGGCGCCTGGTGCCTTTGCATTTGCTAATTTTCGCTAAATGCCTTCTGCTGGTACTCCCGGTACATCTATATCCCAACGAGCAGCCGGGCTCCTGCTGGTCAAATCGTCCGTCTGACTAGGCTTTATTGATCATTGGGGCGGCGCGGGGAGATAAACAGAGGGGCGGGGAGGAGGCTGAATGCTTCTGTCTCACCTCCGGGAAAGAGAGTTGCTGCGGTTCTCGGGCTGTCTCCCCGATCGCTTTTGGCAGACAAGGCTTCGTTTGTATTCCACCTCCGTCGCGTGCGTGGCCTTCCCTATTTTCTATTGCACATTACGGGCTTCTGGGCTCCTAAATTTGGGGACAACCCCTTTCTGGTCCCCGCTACACATGCTCTTTGCTACAACCAGATCCCAAACGAAGAAGGCAGTCTCTGCCTGCTGGGACTTTTGAGTGCTCTTCCAAAACACTGGAAGATGGGAGACTTTTAAAAACAACACCACTCCACCCAGAACGGGCCTCCTGCCGAGTGCCAGCAGCTCCTTGAGCTTAAGAGAATCTCCCAGGTTTGAGCGACTAATTACAACGCTCCAACCCAGGAGAAAGTGAGCGAAGCGCCGCTGCCTCTGCCGGAGACGCGTTCTAGACGCCCTTGTTTGTTGCCAAGGCCCGCTGGTTTGAATGGCACGTCGGCGCCGCCTATGAAAACATTCCGGGGCGGGGCGGGGGGCGGGGCGGGCTTTGGGGCGATCGCATTATTTACAGAGCCAGAGGAGGCCGAGAGGAGCGCGCCGTCGCTCGATCGCTTGCCTCGCGCGCCGCCTTTGAAGCTCCGAACAGGAAAACCGGGGCGTAGCACTGCTGCCGTTGCCGTCCAGTTGCGAGGCTCCCCGCACGCCAGATGCGGCTGCAGCTGGAGCAGGGTTCTCCTCCGGCGTGAGCGACGCCCAGCGCCCGTGCCCGTGGCCAGAGCTGGATCGGAGACGGGCTGGGGGACCGCCACGCAGGGCCGCCACCCGCTCTTGAGAGGGTCAATGCGCTGTCCGGTCGGAGCACTTCCTTGCAACGTCGCCAGGTGAAGCGAGCGCTGGAGGGATCTCGGGGAACTCCGGCGGCGGACGGCGAGGCCGGGCGGGCGGACGGGCGGCTTAAATGGATCGCCACTCCAGCTTCATCTTCATCTGGCTGCAACTGGAGCTGTGCGCCATGGCCATCCTGCTGACCAAAGGTGAGTCCTGACTTCGGGCGCACATGAACTAGGCGGAAAAAGAAAGGGGCGTTCGTGGCGGAGTATCTTTCTGCTCTTCGTCTGCGGAGGTTTCGGCAAAGGGGAGGTTAGGAAGAGGGAAGCGGAGAGGGCTGAAAGGGGAGAGCGCTCGACGAGAGGGGGACGAAGACAAGACACGGGCCGGGGAGGCTTCGTATCATGCCCCTATTCTGACACACCGTCCTGGGGGCGATCCGGCCTCACCGATTTGCGTGGGGCGTGCCGCCCGCTTCTATGCATGTATGTGCCCTGAAGTTGCTCCACCGAGATGAGTGGGGATTCTTTCCAAAGAAAAGGGCACTGAAGATTGCAGCCACTCTGTGCACGCTAGAGAAGGAATCAGGCTCGACAAATTCGGGCGTCAACATACACGATCAGGTCATTTGTTCCTCTGCCTCCCATGAGGTTTAGGCGAGGCTAGCCAGCCGCCTCCGGCTGCCCTTGAACTGAATCAGGCGCCCCCAAAGTTGCACACGGTGCGCTTGTTTTCTCTCCATCCTCTGAGATACTGGCGAAGCCCACGGAATCGGGGCCACTCCTTTAGGACCGCTCGGAGGAGGGGCGCGAGGGTCTCCGCCTTGCTTTGCAGGGCAACCTGCTGGGCTGCCGTGTGCGAGTGTCGACAATTGTGCAGAGACTGGTTGCAGCCTTCTCTCAACCAGGCAGCCTCCGGATGGGTTGAACTGCAACCCCAATCTTCCCTCGGTAGCATATCCATGGGAGGGCGCCAGGTTGTGCGCGGGCATGGAGGCTGGTTTAATGGGAGGTTGGTCGGCCGGACTGGGGAAAAGTTGAGGAGCTGCTGTTACCCTTCGTAGCGTCGGGGGAGGGCCGACATGTGCAATGGGGCGGGCAGTTCTAGCACCGGAGTCTCCTCTTTTTGCAAAGGAGGGGCGGCTGCAAGATGCAGGAGGGGAGTTGCGGAAGGGGCACTGTGCTGCAACCGTGGAGCTTATGGGGGACCGGGGAATCTTGCTTGGACTCCGGGATAGACGCGATTTCAGTCGCCGCCTTACTTCCGTGCAAACACGTCTAGGGGTCGGGCTGTTAGACGCACTGTCGCGCCTGCGGGGCACTTTGAAGACCTGTGCAGCACAGGACGGAGGCCCCGGGCCCGATCCCGAGCGCGTTTACTCGGACGCAGCCCAAGCAACCGTGGGAGCGGCGGCAGTGGCAGGCGGAAGGTCAACCGCAGCTCGGCACAAGCCTCGCCGCTCGGAGCACAATGAACACCCCCTGCCGCCAGCGCGTCCCACTGAACTCCGCTGGGGATTATTTCCGAGGCAACGCGCTCGAGGCGCCGTGCGGCGCTGCAGCCGGCAGCGGCGCGGCTCGCTGAAGTCCTCCCGAGGTGGGCGGTGAGGAGCAGTGGGGGCGGGTGCGTGCTGGGGCTGCTCGGAGGGGATGGTCGCCCCGGGGGAGCGGCTCCGCGGGGCCTCCCGCTGCGTTCGTGAGGCACGGCGGATGCTGGGAGCGCAACCCAGCCTGGGTGGGCGGGTGACGGCGGCGCCGCCTGCTGCCGGGCGCGGTAGCCGCTTGCAGGCGCCTCACTGCGCGGCCTGAAAGGGCCGCCGCCTTAAGTCGGCTTCCCGTCCCCGCAGCGCGGAGGAAAGCCCGTTCTCCCGCTCCGCCGCCTTTCGTAGGGCCGAAGGGGGCTCGGCGGCGGCGGCGGCGGCGGCTGCCTGCCTGGAGCTCCCACCCAAGCGAAGCAAGCCCGGTAGCCGCCCACCTCATCCGTCCCTCCCCCCGGGCAACTCTCCTCCCCTTGACCGGGCCAGGGTGGACTCCCTCCTCCTCGCCCTCCCTCCCGCGGCTGGCGAGCTCCATGCGCTGGGCCCGGCGCTGCCTTTGAAGCCCGCTGCCAAGGCTTTGTGAGCGTGTCATGTTTCCTCCCGGGCTGAGCCTCGCAGGCCAGAACAAGCTCGCCTCTTCTTGGAAGTGGCGCTGCTTGGGTTTCCTTCCCTTCCTCTCTCTCTCTCCCCGCCCCCTGCGTGGCTCGCTGCTCCGTCCTCGCCTTGCCTCATTGATGTAAGTCAGACCTTAGGGCAAGCGGTTGTCAAAATGTTGTTGTTAGGCTTTCTTTAATGCACTTCTGAACGTTTCCAGCCGTGGCCCTCCTGAGCGACCCCCCCCCACGCATCACCTCCTCGCTTCCTCCATCGCCAGAAACCGATTTAGGAAGGTATTCTGCTCCTAAGGAAGCCCTGGAAAGAGGCTGTATTCCGCACCCGCCCTCCTGTCTCTCGTTAACGGGCAGAGAAAACATGAAGACAAATCCATCTTTGAAACTAATAAAATGAGATACATTAAAAACAAATCCTTCCTTTAGCTTTGGACTCTTTCCCCTTCAAGTTACCATCCTGTGTGCACTTGTCTGGTGTGAACTTGGAGAGGGCTACTTCTGAGTAAACATGCATGGGATTGAGCAGCGCACCTCACAACAGTCTTGAGAGGTGGGCAGCTTCCCTCCCCACAGCTTGTAAAGAGTGAACTGCCAACTCCCCATTAGTTGTTGCCTTCACATACTACTGACTCTTTTTTCCTGAATTATAAAACTTAACTTTAAAAAGGGGAAGCAACAGAAGAGTTGATGGCTCCCCCTAATTGCCATGTTTCATGAAGAGGAGGTTAAAGGATAAGCTAGCATAGTGCTGATGTGCTACAGTATTTATTTATTTTGGAAAGAAGGGTGTAATTAACCCCAAATAACAGCCCTTGAAGCAAGCGGAGGGAAGTCTTCTGGCCCCATCAAAGAGGGGCAGAGAAGGGAGTGACTGAGAGTAATGTGCAGTTGCAGATACTGAAACTATGTGCCTGATAATGATATAATTAGGGGATCACAGACTTCTGGCTGCTGTCGACTTCAAAAGCTTTAAGAGAAGCCTGCAGTCTCTCCTGTAGCCACCTTGACTAAAAGCAGACATTTTTCTTTAATAGCTACATACAGTAACAAGAAAGAGGAGGGGAACAGAAAGGGCATTGTTCACTGTTTGAAAATACCAAATACTCTTTCTGGCCTTTTGCATAGCTCAGGAAGAAACTTTATGAATTGAGAGAAATTAAAAGTTTTCTTTAAAAAAATAAAATAATAATAATAATACAAAAACGCTATTCTGTTCTACCAGAGGGATAAAAAATGTGGCTCTAATTAAAATGAAGTTGTAATAACTTGATGACCAGCCCTTCATGTGTTTGCTTATAAGGCAGTCTTGGGTCAGGAAAAGACAGAATTTGAAATCGGGTTGTGGAAACCATTAAAGCAGAAAACATGTTTTTATGGTTTGTTTCCTCTGCCTCTTATTCTTTAAGACAGAGGAAGGCAAAGGACGAGTTTGTGGAGATCCTACCAGCTAGCTCCCCTCTCACACACACAGCTTTTGCATTTGGCATAATTTATTTGAATGAAGACTTTTGTCTATCAGAACCAACATGCTAGATGTTTTAACTGCCACTTACAAAAATGGAATTCGGAAGTTGCATGATGAGGCAGGAGAAACAAAATTCTCAAGGGAAAAGAACTGACTCCTGTGAATCTCATAACATTGGATTTTGAGGACCAATAACTAACTGGAGAAGCTTGGGGTGTCTAGGCTGGCAGACTAGGTACAGACTAGGCAACCTTAACCATTGACCCATGAAATGCATCCCATTTTTTTTAAATCCATTTGGATGGAATACCTCATGGAGATATTTCTTAAAATGCCAGTGTCATTTCATCTATTAGGTGAAAAAATTCAGGCATAAAATGAATGATATGCTTTCTGTCAGATTAGTTTTCTAAATGTTTGGTAAGCTGCTTGAGCTTCAGGAATTCTTGAACAGGAAAGGAAGGATTCAGATGCAGTGTCTCACGCATCCAAGAAAGATGGGCTTGTGTACATACAAGCACATTGTCATTTGGCTTTGATTATATTAGAGAGAAGCAAGGACCTCGGCACAGGCTGCAGCAATATTATGGGAAATGTGAACATAAAAATCCCTGGAAAGGCAGCCCTGCTGAAGTAACACTCCCAGCCCCATTCCACAATGCTGTGTGTTTGGGGGGGGGGGGGTGCACACTTGCAGTATATTAACTCTTAAGTTGCCATGGGAGGGTTGACAGTTTTACAAAGAGTGACTGGTCTTTTTAAGCTGATTTTTAAAAAAAACTTTCCTACTGCTGGGGCTGGTAGCACACTTCCTCAAATGACAGTAGTTTCTGAAAGCTGAGAGAAACCCATCTTGCTCACAGTGCCTTCCTTTCATGCTCTGAAGTGATGGAGAACAGATTTAAGTTGCAATATACAGACGAGAAAAACTCTATATAGCAAAGTGAATACATTTGTAAAGGATGTGAAATGAAGATGTTTTTATGAAGGGAACTTTTTTAAGCGCTACTTCCAGAAATGTTTGAGGTTTCCAGTGCGTTTTTTGTTTCGTACAAACAGTAGAGGATTTTCAGTCTAAATGTTTACCCTTTTTGACCACATGATAGATGGGGTGGAGGGGAGATGGACAGTGATGGAAGACGGAGGGTTCACTTTTGCTGTTCACCCCTCCTCCCATGTATGAGCTTCCAGTTAAGCTGAAAGAGGTTGATTTTGGCAAGTAGATACCCTAATTGTAAACTACAAAGTTCCTGTTTTATAATAAAAACTCAAAGCTCTTTTGCATGAGAAGCTCCTTCTTGGAAGAAGATGCTGTGGAAAGCCAGGTATCGGGGACAAATGGATGGAATGACTGTTGTTTGTGAGTTTCCCTGGGCTTCTGCTGGACACAGAATGCTGGATTAGATGGATCCCAGAAAGCAATCCTTGTGTTTATAGATCCAGCATTTTTCCGTCTGGGGTCTTTTTTATATTATCATGACTTTAGTTTGTCATTTCATAAGCTGAATACTGGCACCATCCCTAAAGGTAGTAAGCGATTGAGCCATATTAATACTGTCTTGCATAAATATTTAATCGAAGTATGGGGGTTGATCACTTGTTTTACTCTTTGCTGCTGTACAGCTGAAATCAATGTAAAGTATGTAATTTTTCTTACTGTGGAAAAACTAGTATTTTATGAACGTAATGTAGTGGGGAAGCACATAAACCGGTTGCATAAATGGTTAACAGGAAGGCAAGCATCGCAGTCTTGAGACCAGAGATGGGCTAGTATGCCATAACTGACCAACTTAATAGCCTTCCCCAAAGGGTAACGTGATCCCCATATTGCTGCCGCAGTTGCAAGAGTGGGGGCATTTACATGGCTACTAAAATGGCACCCCCACATGGGATAAAATCAAACCCCTTCAGCTCTGTATGGAGTCCTGTCTGCCTACTCAAAGAGCACAGCAGTGCTCTGAAGGCCTCTTCGATTCTGTCAGAAACCATGCCTTACTTCCCGACTCTGTCCCTTGGCTGTTTAATGCTCATGCATCGATCACAGCTTCCAAGCAGTGGGAATAGCAAACGATGTCTCTGCAGCTGTTTTCTCTGCTGAGTGGCCCTGATAAGATTATACCTACCATGTGGATTTTCCTTTTACTGATTTTAGATATGTATTCCATCCATTCTCCAAGAAGTTTGTTGATGCTGCTTTACTTTTCTACCAGCAATGGCGTGGAAACTTTCTGCGTGATGCTGAGGTTTTGTGGTGCTGCTGCTACGTGGAGGCATTTTATAGCTGTGGTTAGCTACTGTTTCGGGCCATCACGGAGCTAAGGATATAGTCTAATAACGGGTGGCTTCTTAGGGAAGCGGTGTTCAAATCTATTCCCTGCTTAGATATGCCATAGCTTTAGAAAGAGGGGAATTATTCTCGGTCATGGGTGGCCCTACACTGAGGGTGCTCCATATAGTCAGTATCTGAATCCTTCGTATAACTGCAGGTGGCTGTGACTGCCCAAGGCTAACATGGATGTTCCTTTCCTTTGTTGTAGGTGAAATTAGATGCTACTGTGATGCCGCGCACTGTGTTGCAACAGGCTACATGTGCAAATCTGAGCTCAACGCTTGCTTCTCTAGACTGCTTGACCCACAGAACAGCCATTCTCCACTCACTCACGGCTGCTTGGACTCTCTTGCCAGCACAGCGGACATCTGTCAAGCTAACTTGGCCCAAAACCACTCTGGCAGTACCATACCCACGTTGGAGTGTTGCCACGAAGATATGTGCAATTACAGAGGGCTGTATGATGTCCTCTCTCCTTCCAGGGGAGAGCCTTCAGGTAAATACAGCTCTTATCTGATATTCTGGCAGCAAGCGAGACCTTGTCTGTTTGCTAATGATTTTGCTCTTGAATATAACTAGGTACACTAGAGGGGAAAGCATGTGGCTAGACACACACTTGCCAAACAGTGCTTGCATGTGCATTAGCATAAGACACAAAGCTTGTTCCTTCCTTTTCTAACAGGTCTGGCATTTTGCCAGGGAAAACTTGTTTAGGGAAGGGCACTAGCTTAAATTTAAATCTGGCACAATTCAGACTGGGAAAAATAAAACTATTATGCAACTGAAATTTCTTGAAGCCTGAGATTTCTTGAAGGTTTTAATGAGAAGGAAACAACAACTGTAATGTAAAGCTGTGCTGTTGGTTACTGTTTGTTCATTCTGGTGAGATAGTTAAAGAGCGGATAGGATAATGAATTTTCTCTGATACCATAGAGTATAGCAGCTTGGTGCCTTTCTAAGGTATTGGACTACAACTCCCAGCATTCTTGACCATTGGCTGGGGCATGGGCATTGAAATCTAAAACATCTGGAGGGCACCAGGTATGCAATACTTCATCTTATCCCACAAACCTGGTGTTTTTGCGGGCAAAAGGAACATTTAGTGTCTCTGACACCAGGTATACCCATTTATTAAAGCTGCGTTTCAGGTTAAAACCTCCAAGTATATGGGCGTGGTATATCCATAACGTCAATTTTGTTGTTACAGCAGGATGGATCTATTTCATAGAGTGATCCTATGGCCTCCAGACAATGTCTAGGTGGCTATAGGATACTTCAGATTCCCACTTCTGTTTTTAGAACTCAGGATCTCAGATCCTGGATGTGCAGGATTCACCCGCCTTTGTAGCCGCTGTGGAAAGAATGGCCCTGGCTTTTTTTCCTGTGGTCATACAAGTGACAATGGAGAAAGGGCAAAGGGGGGGTTCTAGTGGGTGGGAAGTGACTGGGGCCAGCAGGGTGGTGCTGCAGCCCTTTTCCCACTCAGTCTAAAGCACCAGGGCAGGGGCAGCATGGAGGCAGCGCTGACTTATACTGCTTTTCCCTGCTTGCATAAGATGCTCACAACCACCTGCATTTGGAAGCTTTTAGGCTTCTCCACTGGATTGCACCTTTAGGGATTCCCTGATTCTGCAAAATGTCTCTGACTATTTCTAATATTTTAAGTCCCAAACTGATTTAATTCTTTAAGGAAAATGGTAGCTCAGGGATGCGGAATGTGTGGCCTGTGGGAAGATGCAGCCCATGGGGATTTTCTGCCTTGCCTATAAGCTGCTGCTGCTGTTACTGCCAGTCAGTTATGGGAGATAAGAGGGTATTTGAAGGCATTTGAACCATCTGTTGCAAGCCTGGAATCTGTTACAAAAAATTGTGCTGTCCTACCTCATTCTTGTGCTATCCTAGATAAACTACCCTTTTGTAACAACAGCTTGCAAACATAATAAGTCATCAATTTAAGTCAGTTGGAGAAATTACTGCTTTAAGCTTAATGGCCACAATCAGTGATGTTTTGGCAGTTAAGTAAGCAAAATGGTATTAGGAAAATACTGTACCTTTAATTTTGACGAGGCCCAAAGCTGTATCTAGGCTACTTGGCAGAGAAGATTCTTCAGTAAGGTTAACAAAGAAATGCAAACAAACCATGCTGGGGGTCCCTGGCTTTTCTGTTTGCGTGCAATGGATGCTTCGCCATCTCCGAAGTAAATGCAAGCATTGGTAATACTTTCTAAAACACCCCCGTGCAGTCTTTTTAACAAAACAAACACAATTCCGTAGCATTTCTTGGCTTGCACAGTACTTCAGAGTTCTCATTTATCCACGTAATCCTATGAAGAAGGCTAGGCAGAGAGATGGCAACATGCTCAGGGCTCACTATGGAAACTGGGGCCTTTTCACGTATTATGCTTTGGAGCAAATCCAAATCTGTCTCTGTAGACTCCAGAGGCCAGTCATGCCAGACCCCAGCCAGTGATGCTTCCTTGCTGAGTACCTGACTCATATGTAGGCTCTCCTGTATACATGTTTTGCATTTTAAAAATACATACCTAAACACATAATGTATGGAGCAGCTCTGGGTTCCCAGTCTCTTAAATGGCATATATTATACCACACTGACCTTTTATTTTCAGAGAAGTGGGAAAGGCTGGCTATGGGAAGGGCTTTGTTTGCTACAGGGGTTCTAACTTCAGAGCTGCAGTGTTGTATAAATGCTACAACGGGTGTTGCACAGGTGGCAAAGCACCAATGCATAACCGATCTGAGACCTGAGAGCATAGCTGGGTTTCCTTCTGCTCAGCAAAGCCTGGGCAGTGCTCAATTTATGGGGAAAACGGCTGGGGCTTACCGAGAACGAAATAAGGGTGCTCTGTCCCTTGACTCCCTCTAGTTCTAGTCTGATTATGCCTCACAGTCCCTACATTAGCTGAGGGGGCAGTCTCAACATTAGCTGAAGGGCCTGCCTCACCTTCAAAGTTGAACCTAAAAATTGGCTTCTGGGTACAGTGCAATGACTGAAGTCTTTGCCCTTACAAGGCTTCACACAATAGTTTGAGCACAGCAGTATGATCCTGGCAGCCAATGTGGCCTAGTGGTTAAGAGCATGGGACTGGGACTCAGAGGATCTGGGTTCTAGTCCCCGCTCAGCCGTGGAGCCAACTGGGTGACTTTGGGCCAGTCACAGACTCTTGGGCCAACCTACCTCACAAGGTTGTTGCTCTGCAGAAAAAACACAGAGAAGCTCATACGCCACCTTGAGTTTCTTACAAGAGGAAGAAAGACGGGATATAAATGCAATATAATAGAAACACAGAAACAGAGCGAGTCAGAAGGGGCTCCCGGGCCATCTAGTCTGACCTCCGGCACCAGCCGGCTCCTCTAATGACATGCCCACCATGTGCACGTCCAACCTATCCTTGAACACCCGCACCAATGGGGCCTCAATGACCTCTCGTGGAAGCCCATTCCACACCCTCGGGGTCCTGACTGTCAGGAAGTGCTTCCTGGCATCCAAACGGAACCTTGGCTCCCTGAGCTTTGCTCCATTGGAGCGTGTCCTGCCTTCTTCTGCAGGGGAGAACAGGTCTCTACCCATCTCCGTGTGACATCCCCTCACATACCTGTATGTCGCCAACATATCCCCTCTGAGTCTCCTCCAGACTGAAGAGACCCAGTTCCCTCAGGCTCGCCTCATACAGCATCCCCTGCAAACCGGCCACCAACCTTGTGGCCCTACGCTGCACTGACTCTAACCTGGCTATAGCCTTCCTGTAATGAGGGGCCCAAAACTGAGCACAGTACTCCAGTTGCGGGTGCACCAGAGTTGTATTTTATTATTATTATTATTATATAATATTATTATTATATAATAATACTACAAATATCTGGTTTTAAAACTTCTCTGAAAGGAACAGAAAGTAGGAATCCAATTAATCAAATGCAGATTGAAATGTTAGAAAGTCTGAATGCAAAAACTGATGATGGAGCTGCACAAGGGCCACCATGGGAAGGCCTTGCCTTGTGGCGCCCACCAGTGTAGCATTTCTGCCTGATGGGCTGCACCGGAGAGTGGGGCCACCATCGGTAAGCCGCTTAAATTGCCTTCTACCACATTAATGCGTTCCTCACTTTTTTCCCCTTGCAGGACAAGGGAGCAGGTATCAGCATGAGAGCAGCAGAAACCTCATCACCAAGGTTCAGGAACTGACCTCCTCCAAAGAACTCTGGTTCAGGGCAGCGGTCATTGCGGTCCCCATAGCCGGTGGGCTGATCTTGGTGCTGCTCATCATGCTGGCCTTGCGCATGCTCAGGAGTGAAAACAAGAGACTGCAGGACCAGCGGCAGCAGATGCTCTCCCGATTGCACTACAGCTTCCACGGGCATCAGTCCCGAAAAGGGCAGGTTGCCAAGCTAGACTTGGAATGCATGGTGCCGGTGACGGGACATGAGAACTGCTGCATGACCTGTGATAAGATGCGACAGCCAGACCTCAGCAACGACAAAATACTTTCGCTTGTCCACTGGGGAATGTATGGCAGGCACGGAAAGCTGGAGTTCGTCTGATCGTGTCTTCTTTATTTTAATATATATATATATATATATATAAATATATAAATATTAAAGGTTTGTTCTTAAAAATTACTAGAAAAAGGCCTTTGGGTTCTGCTGGACAGGAGCACTTTATACAGGGAAAAGCCTACAGTCATTAATCCTTTTTAAGAAAACAAAGGACCTCTGCAGATTGAACCTTGGATGTCTTCTGAAGGATTCCAAAAGTTATCTTATTTGCACAGAGTAAATAGACTCAAATGTATTGTTTGCTTTAGAACTATGGAAGCAAAACTGAGAAGTTGTACACACTGTTACCAGGGTTGTCTGAGCTGTAGGGAGATGGGATACTATTAAACTGTATGCAAGTTCTGATGTAAAGATTTTTTAAAATATATATATATATATATATTTTGTCTGAAGCCTATTTGTGGTTTTGTGTACTGTTCCAGGTGTTGGCCTAGAGCAGTGGTGGGGAATTTGTGGACTCCAGATGTTGTTGGACTTCTAGCTCCCCATCATCCTGGGCTATTAGCGGTGAAGGCTGGGGCTGATAGGACTTGGAGTCCCAACAACCCCTGGAAGCTACAGGTTTCTCATCCCTGACTTAGCATTTTCTTTAGTGTTTGGGATGGTTCAAGTGATGTGGACTCATTTCGCCACAGAAAATGCACCCACACAAAGTTACACCATTGCCTTGTTGGCTATTTCATTGCTTAAATCAGGTTGGGGGCACCCTGTGCCTCTCTGGATACTTTGGCCCTCAGCTCCCATCAGCCCTAGCTGGCATAGCCAGCAATGAGGGTGGGTGAAGTTGTAGGCTGAAGCATCTGGAGGACCACCAGTTGCCGACCGCTGGTTTGAACTTGCCAAACACTTTGATTCTATCATAAGCTGGTTTTGTCGTAAAGGCAAATGGCTTCTTTGCTCTGCTGTTATGCTTTAGGAGGTTTAGTTTGCTCACTTTGAATTTTGAAAAAGTAGAACTCCAGTGTTTGCCTAATACTGAACTCATTTTAATATTTTGCTATTCAGCAGCACAGAACGGAGCCAGACTGCCCAATGTCTGTACTAAAGTCCACTTGGTTCTCCAGACTGTAGTCCAGGGCAACAAACACTCAGGCCGAGTAATATAATAAAATTGGATTCACTTGACAGCGAAGGCTACAGAGGTTTGGAACAAATGCTTATAGATCCTTGCAGCTGCAATACTGAGGAACGAATACGCGGTGCAGCGATCAGAGGGAGACCTGGGTTCAAATTCCCACTTAGTCATGAGGCTCATTTGGTACCTTGGACAAGTCACTTTCTCTTTGCCTTACCTACCTCACAGGACTGCTGTGAGGCTAACATGCAGGGAGAACCATACACCAAAAAAGGGGGTGGCACAGACTAGGCTGAGACAACATTACCATATAAAATGCCTAGTAAATAAAGAAGGTTTAACTTAACACTTGAAAAGCTTGCAATGCCATTGGCTGTACTGCTTTAGGGAGGATTTTCCTGAGTCATGGGATCGGCAGAAACAGCCCTTCCTTTGGAGGTGCATGATTTATCTCTCAGAGGAAGGCACTCAGAAGGGCATCTGTAGGGACTGCAAGGCAGAGGAAGGCTGGTATGGAAAGAGACCCTCCTTCCAACTTTTTGGATAATAGGAGTGCTTTACAACCTCTAGTACAAATAAAAATTTCTACTAGCCTGAAGTAACCGTATGGACATGGTCCAGCCAAAGTTGCAGTTATCCCACTGGAATTGATGGGGGTAAGCAAGACTAACTTTGCTGGATAGGGAGCTTTTGCTTTTCCCTGCAACAGTTTTCCAAGTGTTTTCAGCCAAAGACTGGATTTGTGTGCTGTCTTGTCAGCCATAATGAGGTAGAAATTGGTATGTGCCAGTGTTCTCCAGCCAGGGAGAGCTGTGTGTAGAAACACGCTGCAATCCCGTTACCAAGTGCTGGGAAGCTGCCGTATTCGGCATCTTGACTGTCTGTCTGTCCAGCCCAGCCCAGCCCTGGCTGACTGGGGTGCAGCAGCCTTGTGGGGTCTTGGGGCAGCAGCTTTCCTGTCACTTGGTACCAGCTGGAGACAGCCTAGACATGCAGTGTGGAAAGCGTGTGTTGCACTAGCACTCCAGCTCCTGTTTCACTGCAGATTCTCTGCATTGACAGGTTGCCCCAGGCTTGTCCGATCATGTCAAGTTGCCCCCTAATTTGAGAGATCCACTGCCTCTTGTGGATGCTTTTAAGCAAACCTATTTGTGCATCACCCAGAGAAATCAGATGATTCCTGCTTCTCCCCAGAGCCAGTTTGGGTCACTTGTGTAGTTGGACTCCCTGCTTTTGCCACTCTGCCTGTGTGAGCTGACTTCAGATCACTGGAAAACCTTCCACAAGAAAGGGTAAAAGACAAAATGAGCTGCCTACTAAATGTCTATTGCAAAGGACTTCAAGAGATATTTAAATGGCCAGTCCAAAGACAACTTTTTCTACACACAGAACTGCTCCTGTCCTAAACCAACATACCTGCTCTTAAACCGGCTCAGAACCCTGTGATTACGTAAACCAGCAGTGGGCAACTTGTAGCCTTCTAGATGTTTACCTAGAACTCCTTATCGCCCCTAGTCAGCACAGCCAGCTATGATGGGAGCTGTAGGCCAAAACAACTGGAGGCCCAAAAGATACCCACCCTTGACCAAATTACACCTATCGGGAATAAACCCCACTGAACATGCCAGGGACTTATGTGAAATCATGTCTAGGATTGCACGGTTAAGATTATTTCATAGCACTGATTCTTCTAGCAAGCTGAACCAGTACTGCACACACTGAATGCATTTTCATATCTGGAAGTACAAAGAAAACCCCCCGATAGGAGAATAAAGGCCAGTGTCTGAAATGTGTCATAGGCTGCAATTTTATGCACACATCCTTGGGAGTAAACTCTTGGGCTCAGCAGGACTGACTTCTAAATAAACAGAGAGGCTTGGGCTGCATGTCTGCTTTGTGTCCCTCCCTCGTTTCCGCCTCTTATTTTTTTCTTTCTTTCCCAAAGCAGTCATGGTTATGGCTTTTCTTATGTCTGCTGATTCCAGTCTCTCCAGCAATTGTATGTCTCTCTTCTTGACTCTTGCTTAACTGATTCTATTAAAAAGCCCTTGCACCACAGGGGGGTTGACCTTCTTCTGGAATACCAAATGTGTCTGCTTTGGAAATCACAAAGGCCCCCTCCTCAAAAGGGACTGCAAATCTGGTTTCAATATTGGATGATTACAAGCAGAGCGGGGAGCTTGAAAGTAACCAGTCTCCTCTAGTAGCTGGGGCAACTGGGCAGAGTTATCTGGGTGGCAAATCTGGGGCTTGTGAGCTATCTTACTTATTCCAGTGTTTACAGCTGCCAAAGCCAATAAATTCAGTCCAGATTAATTCACATGTAACAGATCAGAATCCAGCCTATGGGGCCCAGAAGCAAAGCCTTTGCTTTCTTTTGCTTTAGGGCAAAAAGTGTTGCAGGCCCCTTCCCCACAACCCACTGCGTTGGCTTTCCTCTGTATATAAGCCTCTTCTTGGAGGCTTCTGAAAGCAAGCCTTTTGTTCTCCTAAACAAGATCTAAGCAGCAATTTCATTAGATGAACATCTCATTAACATGATCAACATATATTGTTTGTGAGCCATGTTTGAATCTTAGTTTGTTTTTCTTAAAGCAGGGTATAAATAATTTAAGCGATGCAATGATGCTGCTAATGGGATGTCCATTTTCAAACAAATTTGCTGCTTGGATTGTGTTTGGGAGAACAAAACGTTTGCTTTCAGAAGCTTCCAAGTAGGAAGCTTCCATATACAGATATGAGAGAGAGAGAGAGAGAGAGAGAGAAGGTTTGTTTCCTATTAGAATGAAACTGTCTTTCTGTCTCTTCCCTCCATCCCACATTCCTTGAAAGATAAGAGTCAAACACTAAAGAATAATGGGTTAGATCTCATTATATAAGTGTGTTCAACTGGGCCAGCTGAAGCAGACTATGACCTTTCTCCCCACTGCAGCCTCTCCAGCCACTAGAAAATGCTACGTAGAGATGCAAGGAACTCTGCAGATAGGGGGTGCACTGCAAGGTGGAGGGGGGTCCCCTGAAAGCTGAGCAGATGCATCTTTCATGAACAGAATCCTTCTGTCCATGGAAGGCAGATGCTGAATTCAACCAAATTCATGTTAATAAGTCAACAGAGGAAGGGAGGAATGGAGACACGGACAAGCAAGGCAAGAATATATGAATCATCTCCAAACAGAGATAAATTCAACACTTAGATTTTTCAGCTTTCACCTTCCCAGTAAAGTAATTGGGATTTCAGATGAACCCTAGGAGCCATTTTCGAAACTCCCCACATGGAAGAACTTTAAAGAATCTAGCCTGTGTAAAAGCTTTTTTTAAAATTAAAATGTTTAGTTAGAAACTGTCATTTGCCACATTAATTCCATGGGCGCTAGGGCTTTCAATATATCCAGAAATACACTCTTCCTTGTAATATTCCTGTATTTGATGGTTTATAGGAGATACCTTTAGCTGAGAGTCAGCATGGCATGGTGGTCAGAGTGCTGGACTTGGAATCTGGAGCCCCATCCTCTAGCCCCCACTTACCCATAAATCTCCCTGGTGTCTTTGGACCAGTCACTGCTTCTCAGCCTAGTCTACTTCACAGGGTTGTTGTACAGATTAATATGGAGATGAAGAGGCTTATATAAGCTGCCTTGGGTTCCTTGCCAGAGGAAGAAAGACAGGATATCAGTAGGATGGATGGATGGATGAACAAATTAAAATAAAACTGCAGAAGAGTTTCAAACAAGCTTTAACAAAGCTTTTCCCAAAGCCCAAGAGAGGGGCCAAGATTTACCAGACAGAAGGAATGGGAAAACTGGGACTATCCTTGGTAAAATAGGAGCATTTGGAGCATACACTCTAGTGCACATGCATGTACACTGCAGGGAACATGTGAAGCATGCGCAAGCAGCTTGCCACTCTCAGCCCCGTCTCGGCTTCTGCAGGGGAGCTTCAGAGGAGGTGTGTGGGCAGTTTGGTGGCTGCGACAAAGCTGGACTGGCTCTTCCTGGAACTGCCGCAGCCCGACTTGAGATCTCTGCTGCATTAACCTGTTACGGGGCTTCCCCACGGAGGCAGTAGCAGCAGGAATCTGCAAAGAGGGCAAAACGGCAAGCTTGTGGGCTGCCCCGCGCATGGCAGCAAAGTGGCCATGGCCGTCGTCCCGTGTTCCCCTTGCCCCTGGCTGGCAGCTTGGCTGCCAGAGCAACCAAGGCACAAGCAGAGAAGCCCACCCTTTCTGAGCCTGCGCTAAGTGGGGTGGTCTGCTGTGCCTCTGAGCAGCTGTACTTTGCCGGTGGGATGCCTTTGCCTCCACGGCTTGGCCAAATCAGGCTGCTCTGGGCCAGAGTCTGCGTGATGCTGAGGCTTGTGATCAGCCAGGAGACGGCTCTAGAGGGAGGAGAAAAGCCACATGGCCAATGGCATCATGGCAGCTGCCACGGCCCCCAGAGGCCACCTTGTGGACAGCCCCTCGGTGAGCAGGCGCCTGCCCTGCACAAGGCGGAATGGAGCAGGCCGAGGGTGTTCTTGTTTCTTGGCTGTAGGCAGATGTGACAACCTGGAAAAGAAGGACAGGAGTGCCCAGGACTGAACCCGACTTCAGCAGAAGCTCTGAGCAGAAGCTCCGGTGGCTCTGTGTTGTAAAACATAATCGAAACTGAACTGCCTGGATGTTTGTTCTAGCCCAACTATACATGTGACGGGGTTGAGAGGGAATCAGAAGAGGTGATAGCTGGTGGCCCACTAGGGCTGAAGCCCCAAATCTTTCATTTGGAGCCCTGATCCTCTGTGAGGCCAACTGGGGTGTAAATCTTACTACTCTCTTTGCAGCTTTGCTTTTCTGTGACAGCTTGCTTTTTGACAGCTGTCAAGAGACAGCAAAGAAAGAACAAAACAGAACCTTCATTTGGCACCTCTCTAGCTCAGTGTCCAGCACTTGACAGCAGGTACGCCTAAGGATATTGTGCACCGGGGTGCCCCATTTTTGCACCCCACAACTGTGACGATCAGCAGTTGCATGCATGTGGCTCTCTCTCTCTCTCTCTGCACACAAACACACATGCACCGCCATCTTTGGGCACACTGTGGGTTGTTCAGGGAACAACCAAGCCACTGTGGCTTAATGCCCTCCCTATCCCTCTCTCTCAGTCTAACCCACCTCACAGGACTGTTTTAAGGAAGAAGTGAGGAAACCCCTACTTCTTCAACTCAAGCCTGGGAAATAATTGTCTCAAATAAAAACAACCAAAACAAAGTGTGTTGCATATTCAGCAATGCAATGAAGTTAAATGCTTGCTGAAATCAAAGTGCTGACAAAAGAATAAGACAGGCAATCTGGAAAGTCTAAATGTATTCTGTGGTATTTAAATGAGGGCAAAATTTGGCCCTCAGACTTCCAAGAACAGTATAAGAAGATTAACTCCTGAAGAACAAAGAGCTGTTGTCATAAAGAGGCCTTAGTAATAAAAGCCAGCCCAAGAGAATGGATGTGTCTGAGGTAAGCAAAATTCTCACATTATTGAATTTTTGAAATAGTTTCCCTTGAGGCATCAGTGGACTCTCATTTGGTCAGTGTGCCTGTTCATATATTGTAAGCAGTGGGGCTCTTCTCGCTTTGGCTACAGGATTTCATTAGTAACAGGGAAGGTTGAATCAACCATCTAATGAGATTTCCCTAAAAACAACCCCCCTGCCCGCCAAGGGAGGGTTTGGGACGGAGCCAGCCGATTTGGGTTATCTCTCTGAGGAGTCTGATGGTCTCGAGCAGTATGAACCCAGGCTCCCTCCAAACAAACAAACACTGTCCTTTCTTTTGTCTTAGCCCTGGCCTTGCTTTCCAGCTCTCATAATCCCTCAGGGGAAGCCTGCAGTAAAACAAAGAGCAAGCGAAAGAAGTTGAGAGACCAAGAGGAAAACTTGCAACACACATGAGCAGTATGGAAATTTATTTATTTATTAATTTCGCAAAATGGATTTCTATCTTGTGAGAAAAAGAGCACTCAGGGTGGCTTGAAATGAAAAATAGTATGGATTAACAGGCAAATGCATTAAAACAATAAAAACAAATAACACAACAACAGCAGAATAAAAATAGCATCCAACCCAACAGAACTGCATGCATGCCTAAAGTCTCACTGAATAAAAAAGGCTTTGCCTGCTGATGGGAAGGCAGCAGGGAGGAAATGAACCTTAACTACCCTCAGCAGGGGGTTCCACTGCTTGGGAGCAGCCACCGAGAAGGCCCTACTTTGCATTGTCTCCCCTGAAGATAGGAAGACTTGGGCAGGCTTCCTAAGTGCGTTTTGGGTTGCAATTTGGACACTCGGTCTCTAAAAGGTTCACCATCACTGGGTTAGGGTTAAAAAAACAAGATGTCCTGGCATGATTTTGATGGTTGGAATGTGTTTAGAATGGGCAGAAATGTTGAGCTGTGTAGAAAAAGCTACTCAGGGAAGGCTTTTTCAAAATCGCACTAATATCAATGGAACTTCAGCCCTATGTTAGGGTTAGGGGTTTGCACCAGAGTAGGGTTAGGGTTAGAAAAACGAGGTGCCCTGGCAGGATTTTGATGGTTGGAATGTGTTCAGAATGGGCAGAAATGATGAGCAGTGAAGAGAAAGCTACTCAGGGAAGGCTTTTTCAAAATCGCCCTCTTTTCAATGGAACTTTTGCCCTATATTAGGGTTAGGGCTGTGTACCAGGGTAGGGTTAGGGTTAGAAAAACGAGGTGTCCTGGCATGATTTTGATGGTTGGAATATGTTTAGAATGGGCAGAAATGTTGAGCTGTTCAGACACAGTGTGTC